AATTTTCACTTCTTTTCAACGGACGCCTTCTTCACTCTTTCTTTCTGCTTAGTTTCTTCTTTTTTTTTTTCCTTCATTGTTGCGACTATTGTTTTACTATTTGAAATATTTTAGTTTTGTTTCATTTCTTCAAATTCCTTTTTACATTTTTCTTTCAAATGATTTTTTTATCTATTTTTGATTTTGACTTTCCCTTCGAAATGCTTTATACGTCTTTTTTATTCTGTTTTTCTTCTGGCTCTCCTTTACGTTTACATTCTATCAATTTCTCTCTCACTCTCTCTCTCTCTATATATATATATATATATATATATATATATATATATATATATATATATATATATATATATATATATAGTTTTCCTTTTCTTTGCACTGTTTTTTCTTTTCTTCTTTATTTTCCTCTTTTTCTTTTTCTTTCAGTACTTTTTGTTTTTTAACACTCATCTTTTTCTTTTTTCCTTTTATTTTTTCGTTCTTTATTCTCTTCCTTTTCATTCTTGTTTTTTCTCTCCTTTTTTGTTTTTTTTATTTCTTCTTTTTCTAAGTTCTCCTCCTTTTCTTCCTTTTTTCTTCCTCTTCTTTTTTCTCCCTCTTTTCTTTACCTATTTTTTGTTTTTCTTTTCTTCATTTCTTGTCATTTTCGTTTCTTTTCTTTTTTCTTTTTCCTTTTCTATTAATTTTTCTTACATTTCTTCCGTCTTTATTTTCCTCTTTTTCTTTTTTTGTTGTTTTTATCTTCTTTTTTCTTCTTCTTTTCTTTCTTTCTTTCTTTCTTATATTCCCTTTCTCTGTTCTTTTTTATTTTTATTGCTCTTCTTTTTCTTTCTTTTCTTTCTCTTTGATTTTTTCACTTTTTTACCTTCGACTTTTCTTTTTCATCTTTTCATCTCATGTTTATGTTATCTTTCTTCCCTATTTTCTTCTAGTTTTCTTTTCTTTTTTATTATTTTCCTCCTCCTCCTTTCTTTTTCACTCTACTCCTTTTCTTCTTTTTTCTTCTTTTTCGTTGTTCTTTTTTCTTTCCTTTCTTCTATTCTTTCTTTCTTTCCCTTCTTTCTTTTCATTTTTTCTCTCTTTATTTCTGTCTTTTCACAGCTTGAAATACATCACTGTTTGTCACTTTCTTTCATTCTTTATATTAACTTTTCTCTTCCTTTTTGACAAGTTCTGCTGCTGAGTAAGATCCCTCGAAGTCACACCGTGGAAGCAAACTTTGTGAAAAATTCAAATAAAAATCAAAAAATATTTTTCCTGCTGGCAACAAAAATGCTGAGCACAAACTTTTCGAACTCACCTTGTGTGTATGAATATGTAAGTATCTACATTAATACTTATGCACGCAGGCACACACACACACACACACACACACACACACAGAGACACACAAACACAGACACACGCACTAATATATATGTAAAAAAAATTCAGACAGTGTATATAAGTAAAAAAACAATATGAAATATATATAGAGAGAGATAGATATATAGATAGATAGATAGATAGATAGATAGATAGATTATATCAAATTATATACGGAAACCAAGTCAATGATCCGAAATACACAAAAAATGTTAGCAAAGGAGAATCGTTCTTCGTTAATTAAACTTATATATATATATATATATATATATATATATATATATATATATAGAGAGAGAGAGAGATAGATAGATAGATAGATATTGATAATATTATTGGTCAATATATATATATATATATATATATATATATATATATATATATATATATATATAGGTTCCCAAGGGGATAGAATCCAGGTTAAACTCAGTGTCAGGACAGATATATATATATATATATATATATATATATATATATATATATATATATATATATATATATATATACAAATTTCATTTTTAACGACTGACAAGTAAATGCAATGTCTTTCCTTTTGGCTACCGTGTCATGCAATTTAATAATTGTGTACTTGAGCACCAATCCTCTTCTACATAAGCTTTTAATGAACCTTGTATAAAAGATAGTTGCTAACAAAAACAATTATATATATATATATATATATATATATATATATATATATATATATATATATATATATATATATAGTCCGATGAAAGAAACTGGTGAGATAAAATAATAATAATATTGATAATATAAATAATAAAAATTTATTATATCAGTAGGCCTTTTGACCAAATGGAAGCATATATGAGAAAGATTTTAAATCGGAATTTTCGGACACGCCTATGTCCTTTTCCCACGAGACAAGAAACAAAAGATGAAAATGAAGTGTGATTTTCTTTCTGCGAAATTTGTTTGTTTATTTTATTTTTTCATGTATTATTTTACCTAAGAGATCTGATAAGTTTTGTGCTAGCTGTGTGTGAATATATATATATATATATATATATATATATATATATATATATATATATATATATATATATACGAAGAAATATAGTTTTGAGGTGTGCTATATTTATGGGATAAAGTGCTCAATATCATCGATTGAGCGTATGTAAATATAAAAGCGGACGTTGAAGTCAACACTCAGAGGCGACAGACTGTTTCAAAACTAGATGCAATCGTCAGGCCACACCTGACGATTGTATATACTATATATATATATATATATATATATATATATATATATATATATATATATATATATTGGCGTTGTCAACTAAAATGTGTCTAATGTTAATATTATTTAGTCTATTTGGCATACGTTCATCTATATGTGCATGAATTGCACTAAATTTTTACAAATGACAAGTTAACCTACGTGAATGTGCATGTGTAACCAAAGATGTAATATTATTTATTGATTGTTAGTTTTGGAAATACAATCTCTCAAATGACATAAAGATTCATAAACAACATTATTTTTACATAGGGTAGATTTTTCCGGTAATGTATTATTTTAAATTGGACATTTGAATTTTTTATAGTAGATGATATATAAATTTTATATACCAGCGGTTATAATTTATATAGCCTTTTCGTCTTGTTTATAATTACAATGCTAAAACGATTTTCACATTGACACATTGTTTTATAGAGAATTAACAAACACTTATCAACAACATTCTCAAAAAAGATAAAGATATAAGATTAGCTTTAAAGAAATTTAGAAAATATAACCAATTGGTAAAGACTTCATTAAATTGATTTATTGTAACGAGATAAATTATAAGCATTTTAAGCCTTTATAATAAGGCTATTCTACAACTGGTCTTTTATATTTAGTTCCAGCTGTGTTTTAACAACATACGGCTATTTGCATATCTTTCATATTTGAATGATAGAAAAAGTTTCGCGTTGAACAGTATTTGCTTAAATTCAAGGTTTGGCCTTTCGGAAAGAACTCGTAACGCATAATTTTCATCCATTTCTACCACATATACAGCATCACCTTTCTTAAAGATGCAGACTGGTTAACAGTGACTCGTTTCATTTGCACCGGGACCTTTTCGCTCTACATTGTTGTAAACAATTCATGTCGCTTCATCTGTGATCGTTCTTTTAAAAAAATGGTTAATTTTTGTTGCGTTTGTCCAGAGAATTGCAACTAGAAATGCGATCTATTAATATTTGCTTAAAATCAAGAGGCACCCAAACATTGTATAGATTTACGTATCCTGGTGTTTTCAGATGCCTTTCAACGCTTAAATGAAATATGTGGATTATCTCAGCGATATTCTGTGTCGCTTTCAGATCAATTTTCCGCTTTTGAATCTTGCAAAGCACTAAAACGAACGATACTCTGAGCTACGGTACCTTCTACATAAATGGTACATGTTTTTGTCCGTGTATCAAAAATTTCAGTTCAACGAAATCACATGGTTAAAGGCCACCAATAAAACTTTTATTCCAAATCATTACATATACATACATACATATATATATATGTGTGTGTGTGTGTGTGTGTGTGTGTGTGTGTGTGTGTGTGTGTGTGTATGGGAAATTACCTATAACGATAATGGACTCTTCCTGACACTATAAATACTGTGCCTCTCAAGAGGTATAATGGATGAATGATGTAACGAGCACGTTAACACAGCCTTGTGCCACATGCAACCCTCGTGGGGGGGGGCTAGATACCAAATGAATGGTGTAACGAGCACCAGGTCATGACTGTTGAACTCTCTACTTTGACAGAGAGGAACCCAGACGAAGCTTTGCCGAAGGGCAGGGTTTCGTCCGGGGAGGTAGTCAGGCCCTGAACCCGTCTAGGCGGGTTCAAAGGGTATATTTTTGGCCGAGCCTACGGGCTCGGAGAAACCCACGTTAAACTCGGCCTTGTGCCACATGTAACTCTCGTGAGGGCAGTGGCTAGATACCGAATGAATGGTGTAACGAGTCGAGACCATATTAGTTCACTCTAAACCAGACGGGCAGTCATTACTAACACCTTCAACTTCTTCGCTGCACAAACTCCCAGTTCTCTTCACATATCTGGGTTAAAAGCCGGAGAGGTATTCATTCATGCGTAGCTTGGGCAAATAGTGCCGTTCCTTCTCCAAAACCAAACCCCGCAGCTGTTGTCCTCTAGCTTAAAGGCTCGCCTTTTTTCACGGACAGGTGGCCGTTGGTTCCATCGAGAGAAGCCTCAGCCCTGGCCGTTGACTTCAGTCGAGAAACACCAAAGCGAAACCGTGTCAACACCGTACTGGCTGCCATTCATAAGCTATCGAGCCCTATCTACTCTAAATGTGCTAAATGGCTTTTAACCCGAAAAGAACTTGTTTGAATTCTGCTCGGTGTCTAGTCACCCTCATCACTAAAATAAAAGCCTGGTGGAAGAACCGGTTTTTATATGGCGTGTTGGTCAATAAGATGATAGATAGATAGATAGATAGATAGATAGATAGATAGATAGATATTGTCGTTAGAAATGGATTCATATAATCAAGACAAAGGAAATCGATTATAATATTTAAGAACTGATAGATAGATAGATAGATAGATAGATAGATAGATAGATAGATATTGTCGTTAGAAATGGATTCATATAATCAAGACAAAGGAAATCGATTATAATATTTAAGAACTGATAGATAGATAGATAGATAGATAGATAGATAGATAGATATTGTCGTTAGAAATGGATTCATATAATCAAGACAAAGGAAATCGATTATAATATTTAAGAACTGATAGATAGATAGATAGATAGATAGATAGATAGATAGATAGATAGATCCTTGACTCATCTGGAGTATATCTGCGGAAATTCCCACTTAGAACTGCGTCTCTGTTAAGTTAAATGCATATAACCCCTTCTATGTTTTCTGTTATCATTTCTAACCTGGATTTCTACAAAGCATGTGGACCTAATGGTATCCCTGTAATTGTCATTAAGAAGTGTGCCCCCGAACTGGCCCCTTTTCTATATAAACTCTATGATAAATCCCTTGGTGCTTCCTTCTTACTGGAAATCATCATCGGTTGTTCCAGTTTTTAAGAACTCGAATGAACCACCCGACCCCTCCAAATATTGGCCTATTAGGAAACTCCGATCGTCGCTAATGCCAAATTGATTAAGTATCTCTTATCGCAGGATCTCTTTTCAGATAAGCAATATGGCTTTCGTTTCTCCAGCTCAACTGCTGATGTACTGACGATAATTACTGAAAGAGTCTATCATGCTCCAGATAAAAATGGCGAAACCTGATCTCGAAAGGCTTTGACAGGATTTGGCATACAGGTCTTCTCCACAAATTGAAAAGTTACGGTGTGTCCTGGCGCGTTTTCGAATTGATCCCGTCTTTCCTCTCAAATCGTGAAATGAAAGTTATCCTGAGCAGCCATTTGTCTACATCCTTTCTTATTAATGAAAGGGCTCCATCCTTGGTCCTACTTTTCAAAAATTTTCATTAATGATTTCCCGATGGTACCAACTGTCAACTTGGTATCTACGATGATGTCACAACCATTTACTCCTGACTTGGTAGTAAGACTGATCAGTTCGATAAAGATGGCCGCCAATGTCCAAAATTACCTCAAGTCCGTTGTTAACTGGGGCAAAGGATGGCGTCTTTAACGGCTTTAAAACTAAACTGCTCTCCATTAATCATCTGAGATCCCCCCTCTCTGCCTTCAAGCAGCATCGTTGATACTAACCTCCAAGAAATTGTCTCGTTGCGACTTTTCAGGTTAACTTTCTTAGCTGACATGAAGTGAAAAAATTATATTGAATCCATTGCAAGGTCAACTGCTAAGAAAATTGGTTCATTGTATCGTTCGAGAAGAATTTTTCTCTCCAGAATCTATCTTACATATCTATAAGTCTACCATTCGTCCATGCTTAGAATATTGCTGCCACATATCATCTGATCCCCTGCTATTCATCTTAAGCTCCTTGATAAAACCCAAAGAAGAATCAGCAATATTATTGGTCCTGATCTGGCATCTCGGCTTCAGTCGCTTTCCCACCGCCGTAAGGTTGCCTCTCTGTGTCTTTTCTTTTTTTACAGATGAGCTCTTCGCTATGGTACCTAGACTTTTTAAATTTAAGCGCAGTACGAGACTAACGTCAAGATGTCATCAATTTACAGTTGAGCTGGCGAAATGGAGCCGTCACTTCTATGCTAACAGTTTTTTTCTCGCACTTCTTGCTTGTAGATCTCTTTTCTGTCTCCATGTTTTCCAGCTAACTTTAATGTGCAAAAATTTAAATGCAATGTCAATCGCTATCAACTGTCTTACTCATTACTCTCTTCTCTACCCGGACATTAGAAATGTTTCTGTTCCTAATTCTTCCACACTCAGTAACCCCTTGCTTGGGGTGAAATCGATTAAAAAAGATAGATAGATAGATAGATAGATAGATAGATAGATAGATAAACAGACTAATCTCCGGCCTTCTTCAGGTGGTTGGAATGTCGAAGGACACATGGCACAGTGGATAAAGGCGTTAGTTAGATCCAGTGACAAGACCCAAAGAGTGTGAGTTCAATACCAGCTTAAGGCAGTGGAGAACTTGCAGATAACTGATAACTGACATCCATTAAACATGACGCGTGGAACTAGAACAGTCTACCCCAGTGAGTGAAATAAAGGGTTCAGTTCGACATTCCAACCGCGTGAAGAAGGCCGGAGCGTACAACGGCCGAAACGTTGTAATAAATATGGCGACAAAGATGAGGAGAATAGTCCGAATAATGGAAATAGTGTACATAATACCTCATCTCAGAAATATAGACATATACTGAGATAGATATATAGATATAGATATATGAACAGACTGAGATAGATAGATTGATACAGGATAGATGAACAGACTGAGATTGATTGATAGATAGATAGATCGATAGATAGATTTTAACTGACTGAAATAGATAGATAGATGAACATACTGATATATATATATATATATATATATATATATATATATGATAGATAGATAGATATTATCGTTAGAAATAGACTCATATAAGCAAGACAACGGAAATCGATCAGAATATCTATGAAGCAGATTACAGATCTTCTTCCCCTTTTTTTCGTCTTTTGCCAATTGCGATTTTATAGCTGAATCTTCTGAACGTTCCTTTCTCAAAATATTGTTTTTCTCATCGTCGACCTGATGTGTAGAAATCAAAAAGCAGAAGGATACACAAGAACACTCACATTTCTTAATCTTATACTATATACACTTGTGCGTGTGTGCGCGTGTATGAATGTATGTTTATATGTGTGTGAGTGTGTAGTGAAATGGTTGCCATTGTGCTCATGACAATATGGACTTGATTTGTAAACTTTGTAGCAAAGATCAGCAGTTAACCAACGTCTGCTAATATTGTTTATCTTACAAAAAAACGGAGGATATAATTATCATTCAGATGAGCAACTGGCGACCAAAGCAAATCTGAAATGACAGGTTTATAAGTTTAAGATGACGAGCCGGACTGAAATGGGGTAGGGCGGTAAATACTTGCTTGTTTAGGTGAGTGGTAGAGAGGAAATGATCAGGGCGAAGGAATCGAGGAAGGTTGGCAAAACAAGACACGAGTTTTAAATAAATCTTATTCCAGCTTCATCCGTTCGTTTGCACACGGGGACGGAAGCCCCTCGGGGTCATACGTGTAGAACTACCTATGCTTATTTTCCCCCCAGGGAATGTGTCTCCAGGGAATGAAGCTTCCCTCGGGGGGATAACCAGGATGAATCGCTCCTCTACCTCATTACGACAGCCACCACCGCCATTATCGCCTGAGGCGCCAAGGTTTGCTTACGGCAAATGTCCAAGGCAAAATGTGACGAAACAACGAAGAAAAGAGTAGGAGACAAAGTCTGAATGACAGGGGGAGGGGGAGGAGTAAACGGTGTATGTGTGTGCGTGTGCGAGTATGTGTGCGTGTGCGAGTATGTGTGCGTGTGCGAGTATGTGTGCGTGTGTGTGTGTTTAGATATGAGTATATATTTTTTGCCCAGGTAAAAAGCTGATACTTATACATGTAATTGCAGGTACACACACACACACACACACACACACACACACACACACATACACACACACACACACACACACACATACATACACACGTGTGTGTGTGTGTGTGTGTGTGTGTGTGTGTGTGTGTGTGTGTGTGTGTGTGTGATTGAACAAGACTGACAAGTCACTTTCGTTCAGCTATTTATTAAAAATAAACGTTATGGATCTCGCAACTACCCAGAAGATTAAAAACCCCGATTGTTTTTGTTGCAACAGCGGAATCTACCTTTTGCACTACGGAGCTGAGACGTCGACTATGACGAAATCTCTGAAGAAACAGCTAGATGAGGCCTCCACAAACAGGCTCAAGGGGGTACCTTCATGTGTACTGGAGAAGTCATACATCAAATGCTGAACAATACGATGACCTATCAAATGTAAGCCCAAAGGTGCAGCAAAGAAGGATGCGTCTAGCAGCACATTGTATCAAGCACGGTGACGAGCATACCCGCAAACTGGTACTCTGCTGCTTACTAAACAAGAGAAGAACAAAAAAAGGAGGGAAGACTCACATTCGTAGGCACATTGCTACAGATGGAAACGGCACAAGAACTGAAGACCACCATGATAGACAGTGTGCTAAATGGAAGGAACCTGTGTATGCTTCGGGGCACATCCCTGTCAACGACCTTAATCTAGTCTATTCTTCGATTATGGTTTTCTTGTATACGTTCGAGTGTCTTCTTTTTGACAATGAATATAATATTTGTCCAAAAGTTTTTTGATTCCGAAAGCTTTTAGCTAAACTTGTAGACATTTTTAACAAACTCTTAATAATTATGAACGCAACCATAATGTAATAGGCTATATTTGGAAATGAAGAATATATCTACTTTCAGCAATTTTGATACCATCTAAAATTTTACTTCACATACATTTATTATAGTAGTAGGAAAAATCCTTGAAAATTGTTAACAGTTTAGCCTAAATCGATTAAAACCAACAAAGCTTGGGCAATTTTTACATTCTAGAGAAGAAAAGCAGGCACGTATGTAAGTAAAAGACTAAAAAATCTATACAAAGTTACCTTGTCAGTCTTGTTCAACGAAACATGTATTAAAGAGAAAATATCCTACCAACATGTGTTTGTTAGTACATATTATATTGTGAAAATGTTGATTCTCATAGTAAAATCTGACATCGTCTGTTTTTATGTCTTTTGGTTTTTCCATATCTCCACCTGTTGAGTTCCTACAATCTTTCTTTTTTTTCTTTTTTTTTTCCTTTTTTTATTTATTTTTTTTGTGGGGGGGGATCGGCTCAGTTTTTTCCTAAGTACTCGTCACTCTCGGGTGACTGTGGAGTTGTGCTCTGGCTGATGATTCAAACACGTCGGTCCCTGATAGACTCCCGCTTCCCGTCTCTTCAGTGCGTAAGGAAAGAGAGACAGACGGTTAATCGTATAGTGGCTCTTCCCTCTTTCCACTTCACTGGAAATGATCGAATAAAAAGGCAAGTGCCGTGTTGCGAATTTTATCTCTCGACAAAAATTCAAATATATGGCTTTTAAAAAAATAAAAAGAGAATTTCATTATTAAAATGTCTTTGGCATTATTATGATAGCTGACGAGCTTATGCGAACGCATGAAAGAACGGAGGATGGAAGCCTTAGCAAAGAGAGAATAACTGTTAATGGCCACAAGGGACAGGAAGTTGTGGAGGGCAAGGATAGCTTATGTCCTAAAGAGACACGACACAAAGAAGGAGAAGAAGAAAAAGAAGTAGAGGAAGAAGAAAAAAGAAGAAAAAGAAATAGTAGATGAAGAAAGAGAAGAAGAAAAAGATGAAGAAAAAGAAGAAGAAAAAGATGAAGAAGAAAAAAGAAAAAAAAGATGAAGAAAAAGAAGTAGTAGATGAAGAAAAAAAAAGAAATAGTAAATGAAGAAAAAGAAGAAGAAAAAGATGAAGAAAAAGATGAAGAAGAAAAAAGAAAAAAAAGATGAAGAAGAAAAAAGAGGAAGAAAAAGATGAAAAAGAAAAAAGAAGAAAAAGAAGAAAAAGAAGAAGATGAAGAAAGAAGAAGAAGAAGAAAAAGAACAACAAGGTATCACAAATTGAAATACTCTGTTGCTTATATGAATAAAAATCTTTGAAATTCGATTAAATAAAATCATATTTTGTTTTTGCATAATAAAATCTAATATTGCGTAGATGTAATGAACTGAGATAAGCAATGTAGAAAAAGAAAAGGTTTTTTGTCGAAAAGACATTATAAGAAATTGCTTGGTTCACGCAAAACTGTTCTTGGTTGCTATTAGTAAAGATAAAATTTCTCTTTCAAATCACCTCGGCACAACCATGTCCGTACCATTTCATTTGCAATTTATTCTTTTCTTTTTCTTCTGAACTATCTGTGCATTTGTTTTTTTCTTTCTATTTCTTAAGACATGTTTTGGAAAGTTCTGGTCATCTCTTTCTCTTCTTGTCAATTCTGTTGCAAATGTTGACCTTTGCCATTGATATGTTCTGCCTTTGCCTCGAAGAATCTTAAAATTCCTTTTGTAGCAGAGTTCAAGAAATCTTCAATCCCGATGAGTCTTCTAACCTCGTCTTTCTTTTTCACATTTCACCTGTCAAAACCATCTTCTGGATTCAAATTCTTTTGTTCGGTTTAGGGAAGGTTTCACCAGAAAAAGGTTTCACCGGTTTAGGGAAGGTTTCACCAGAAAAACAAAAGATAGTGAAATGTTCATTTAAGGTAAAAAAAAAAAAAAAGCTTTATGTGTCTCGTAAAATTGTATATATCTACATAAACACAAGGGATATTGGAGGAAAGGCAGAGAAAGAAAGAGGGAGAGATAGAATATACAGAAAACTGAAAGGGAGATGCTTATATACTGAACAAGAAAGGTATCTATGTTACTTTATCAACCTGATCCGAAATAGCAGGCGATAGCAGATGATAAGGAAAGAGAGATAAACGACGAAAATAGAATAATTTTTGACGACGGTGTCATACGTTCAAATATTTGATTTTTAACAATTCACTTAGCACGGTGGATTTTTTTTTATTCCTAAATATTTTCATTTTGTTTTTAAATTAGCATTTTGACGAGAATTTTTCTTTATCGGTTTAAATGTCTGGGAATCAATGATTTTATTTTAAATATTTATTTATTTATTGCGATATTCTTCCTTTTTCCCTTCATCTTCCTCTTCAAAATACCCAACAACACACACAGATAGATAGATAGATAGATAGATAGATAGATAGATAGATAGATAGATAGATAGATAGATAGATAGATAGATATGAACAGACTGAGATACATATGAACAGACTGAGATAGATATGAACAGATCGAGATAGATAGATAGATAGATAGATAGATAGATAGATAGATAGATAGATAGATAGATAGATAGATATGAACAGATTGACATAGATATGAACAGACATAGATAGATAGATAGATAGATAGATAGATAGATAGATAGATAGATAGATAGATAGATAGATAATGTTAATGCTTCAAAATAAGGAAAAGAAATAAACTCAACCAAAAATAGGCGAATTAAAACTAAGAAAATAAAATTGACAAAATAAAACAGGACGCCATGTTATTGGCCGGAGGCGTCTGCGAATTGTTGAATGAAAGTGACGCCAAGTTGCATGCAGAATAACATAGAAAACAGGAAAAAAAAAGAAGAAGCTTTATTCGGCCATATTAAAATCAGTTGATCTTCTTCGTGGTGAATTATTGTCCTCAAACAAATCTTGTTGAAGGATATTGAGAAGCTTGCGGCCAGTTGGAGAAGTGAAAGGATTTGCTGAGATTTCGAAGCGGATCTTTGACTGAACGGCTTTCGACAGGAAGAAAATACAAGGGAATAAGTCGGGAAAGGAAATATAAGTTAAAATTAGGAATGAACGAGAAAAGAAAAAAATCAAACAGAGGATCTATGAAGTGTCAAATAAAAAGAACTAGAGAAGAAAAGGAAAAAGGATGAAAAGAAAAAAGAAGAAAACAGAAAGGAAGAGAAAGAAGCAGAAAAACGAGACAATCAAGAGAAGGAAATATGGCGGAAGATGAAAAATAAAGAATGAAATCGTAGAAGAAAACAATGCAAGACATTAAGAGAAGAAGTTTTGAAAAAGAGTAAAAAAAAAAAAGAAAAATAACAAAGAGACGAAACAAATGAAAGTTTTTTAAAAAAAGTCAAAGATGAAAATGTGAATAAATTTATTCCCAATCAAACGAATGAACGTTCAAATGAAGACCACAGAAATTAATATCTTTATTCTTTCGTTTTTTCATTGAATGAGTGAAAGACAATTTATAAACGTGACTGATTCAATGCTGAGCAGATAAAGAAAGGAAAGTGTTGACAAATAAACCTAAACTTGATTACACAGAGGAAGGGAAGCTGCAGAAATATTCGCAGATCAAAACGCAGAACAGAAACAGAAAGACTAAATTTCCGTTGACAAGCTAAATTAAAAATGCAATCTGAAAAAAAAATTAATTAACGAATGCAGCCAACTGACCGAAGGGAATATAAAAAGAGACATGATTGGGTGGGAACAGTTAATCACTGGGAATTATGAAAGCGACTTGAGTCCGGCCAATCAAACAAATGGTAAGAGCACAAAGAGAATATCAAAAAGTAAATCCTTTGAAACCTTAATAATTAGATAAATCCCCGAATTCCTAATTAGAATTCAATCCTTATTTTCAATGAAGCAAGAAAAGAAACAATGCCAAAGTTGGTTGGTGCGTTCCGATGAATCACGGGGTCAAGCGGTAAAAGCAACGAGTCTGAGCCTTTTATGGGAAGTTCAAAAGCTATGGATCATGACGGTAGTACTCATAATCGTTACAACACTGGAAGCTTTCACAAAGATTCCTCTGACTCAACACAAAATCACTGTGTGAGGTTCTTATTTACCGAAACATTACAGTTAGTATTATCTTAGGTACCTCCACTAGGTCGCGTAAAAAAAGCAGCATAGCATGATGAAAAAAAGGCCCATAAACGCTCAACGATAACAAAGTTTTGTCATCAAAAAATCGAGCATATATTTGACATTCCAATCTATATAATTTCTATCTGAAATACACCAGAATATTTTATTTACTGGAAATAATACATTTAATCATTTTGCTTTCAATTAAAGCTAAAATAAAATATTTAAGAATGTTTTTTCATTTTTAAAAATTCATTTTAAACCTGCGGTATCGAAAAATTGACCGGAGGTACTTTAGTATTATCGTAGTTAGACTCGTGAGTTTTGACAACCATGAAGCTAACACCGATTGCTATCTGCATTTTTCCTGAAATAAAATAAAATATATTTGCACATAGAAATCATAACTGTGTGTGGTGACAGACGAAAAACCGCCATATAATAAAATAATACAACAATCTAAGCTCAGAAGGTGAACGAAAGTAGACATGATTGGGTAGGGAAAGGGATCAACTTGAAACTGCACAAATGACTGTGGTTGGACTATTAAAAGTGATTGTATATCCGCAGATCAAAAGCTATTTAGAGAGTAAACAGTATAAGATTCTTTGTAACTTTTAAATTTAAACGGATCACGTAATACAAACTAGAAAACCAGATCTAGTGATCGTAAACAAAGAAAGGAAGAATGATTTTTTAAAATAGTGAAAAACTGTAAAAATATCAGGACAAAACAAATGCAGAAAATTGACAAAACATGGCCATCATTAGCATACATAGAATAGTTTCCAAAAGACTTACAAAAAACACGTTTAGAAGAATGGTAAAATGATCTTTGTATCAACATTAAAAAAATCAAGGCAATTATGAGAATTCTAGAAACAAGAGGCGACTTGCTGCCACTTGTTCTCCTGTGAAGTCAGCTGAAATAAGTGACAGAGTATGGGGTGAATCACAAAGAAGAAAACATAAAAATAAAAAGAAGATCCAGAAAGCATCTGAAAACTCAAACAATTCCAATTGTTATTGGTCAACCAGGAACCACACCAAAATATATAAAAGAACATGTTTCTCGCTCACCTGGTAAACTGAGTTTGGCAACAATGCAAAAGACTGGGGCACTTTCCACATCATAAGGAAATATGTTTTATCAATGTCACTAGTTATGGAACCTTACTATTGGAATTTGCGTACATATTCAGATATATTAAGAGCACCCTAAACAGTTGCATGTACATTATCATATATTCACAGAACACCAAACATTTGCAGGCACATTCCCATATATTCCCATATATTCAATAAACAGTAAACATTTGCAATCTATACCAAAGGTTACTTGTTAACAAATTCAATCATTACCAGAGGTTGTTTAGTGACAATGATTATCATAATTTCATAAAGAATTAGACTTTTATGTCAAGAATATATTTAAATATATATACAGTGGGGGGGACAAATATTTGTACGCATACAAATTTTTAATTTATTGTATTTCCAATTAATGAATAAACATACTTTTCATATAATTAACTGTAGGCAGATGCATAATAACTAAATATGCATAGGAAACAAAAAATAATTTTGATTTAATAGAAATAAATCCCATTTATCCTTTTTTTTTTTTTTTTTTTTTTTTGAAAGAAAAAAAAGTATTTGTATAGTACAAAAAAAGATTACATAATCTTCATTTAATACTTTGTAGAATCACTTTTATTCACTTCTACAGCAACCAACCTCTTCTTGTAGTTCTCAATGATTTGCAAATTTTAGTTGGTATTTTGTTCCATTCTTCTTTGCATATGGTCTTCAGATCTGGAATGCTTGTTGGATTTGAATTTTCAAATAAATCCACAGATTTTCAATTAGGTTTAAATCTGGGGACTGACTTAGCCATTTCAGAATATTTACATTATTTTCAGCAAGCCATTTCTTCATAGATTTTGCAATGTGCTTAGGATCATTATCTTACTGAAAGATCCAATCAGGTGGAAGTTCAAGATTTTCAATCGAAATCATTAGGTTTGCTTCCATAATATTTTGATCTGCTGCCACCACCAAATTTCACTGTTGAAACTGTGTTCTTTTGTTTGAAGGCATCGCCATCTTTCCTCCATACATGATTTCTAGAATGACATCCAAACAACTCAATTTTGGTTTAGTCTGCCCCTCTTTCCCCAATTCAATTTTTCTTTATCCTTATGTTCACAAACGAATTTCAAACTGACATCTCTGTGTCTTTTCAATAGCAATGGAGTTTTCCGAGGGGAGCATGACTTTGGATTGTTTCTATGAATTTCATTGCTTATTGTCTGTTTAGTGTCACAGATTCCTGATGAAAACAAATCATCCTGCAGTTCTTAACAAGTAACCATTGGATTTTATTTAATTTGATGCATTAATTTCCTGGAATATCTTGAAGAAATCTTCTGTGGAACACTGGTTCTTCTTTGGTTTTCAACAGTTTTGAGTTTTTAAACCTTGCAATGATTGAACTGATGGAATATTCAGTTTGTCTGAGATTTTCCTGTAACTTTTACCTTTGTTCTAGAGATTAGCAGTCAGTTATTTTTGTGAATTTGTCAATTCTTTGTCTTGCTATGATAATTACCTTCTTGCATGAATATCAATGACATGATGTTCTGTTTTGTATTTTTTAGGCTAAAAATAAATAGCTAACATTATTGAAATGTTCTAGAATATTCCACTTGAATAATCTAGAGTATTAAGCAATTTAAAAGTTTTTCACCAATTAAAATGTATAAATGGGATTGATTTCTATTAAATCATTTTTTGTTTGCTATGCATATTTAGTTATTATGCATCTGGGTAGAGTTAATTATATGAAAAGTATATTTATTCATTAGTTGGAATACAATAAATTAAAAATTTTGTATATGTACGAATATTTGTTTCCCCCACTGTATATATATATATATATATATATATATATATATATATATATATATATATATATATATATATATATATATATATATATATATATATATATATATAAAATTATAATTTATATCAAGACCATAGATAGAAAGAGAGAGAGAGAGAGAAGAAGAAGAAGAAGAAGAAGAAGAAGAAGAAGAGTTATATATTTTCTCGTATACAACCCTTCAAAATAATTTACTGAAATCTGATGCTTTAAATCAGTTCCTGCTCAATTCACCCTAATCTCTTTCTCGATGTATGAGAAAGAGAGAGCTCATTCTGGTACCAGGTTATTATTATTATTATTATTATTATTATTATTATTATTCACTCATTGAGTATTCACGCCAATTGTAACGAGCGGTTTACACCTGAGATGAAGTGACAACAAGTCTCCTCACTATTCTATCAATTACATTCTGACTATAGAATCATGATGCCGTTGTCTACATGATTCTGATTCATCCCCGAATTTCCCGTTCCTCCAGCATTTGACGCTAGCCCTTTAAGGTTCTTCCCAGTGCTCCAATAGCGACTGACACGACTACCGCCTATATGTTTCACAACTTTCTAAACTTTATCGGTCCACAGGGATCAATGAAATCCAATCACTGACAGATTTTCTTCTTTCTTACTACAAAATCCGCGCTGCTGACAGGGATTAAGGGATCTGTTCGTATTTGTAATACTATTTCTCACCCTATACAAGGCCCAAGAACTACTCAAGGTAGAGGGATACCATACAGCAACTTGGGTGGGAAACTTTGTGCCATCCACCTTATTCACTTGACCTTGCGCCATCCGATTACCACCTTTTCCACTCCCTGGATAATCATCTTCGTGGGAAATCCTTCATCAATGAAGCAGACTTCTACCGCAAGGGCATTGAACAGCTGGAGACACGTTGGCAGAAGGTGCTGGATGCCGATGACGATTACTTCGAAGACTAAATATAAGTTACACATACTGTGAAGTGTTTTCTTTTTTTCCTTTAAAAACGGACAGAACTTTTTTGGTCACCTTGTAGATAGAATTCGCTTCGTTTTTTGATGATAGGGTTTTAGGCACATTAATCTGTTTCATGAAAAGTGCAGCTACTTTGTTGACGGAGTGGATTTCGTGTTTTACTATTTGTAGGAGAAAGTCATTGGTTTTTCTGAAGTAGGCTTCCATTCCGATTGTTGTAGTTTTTAGAGTTCGTTCAAGTTGAATTAGACTATGGCCTCCTAAAACTGTTGGTACGTACAGCCTATCAACATCTGATGGCAATTTTGAAAAACATATTTCACTATCGCAATCCGCCTTCGAATTTCCGTGTCACCCTTTCCATTCTCTACTAGTACTCTTCCCAGATTTAAATATCTGGGAAGTGTTTTAACAAATGATGGAAAATATGACACCGAAACCCGAGGGTGCAGAGATGTGGTTCTACAGAAGGATACTGGGAATACCATGGACTGAACATGTGACCAACGAGAACAATTTAAGGAAGATGGAAACAAAAGGGACGCATACTTAGAATCAAAAAGAGAGCATTGAAATTTCGGGGATATATAATGGGGAAAGACGGCTTGGAGAATTTGACATCCACAGGATATATTGATGGAAAGAGGGACAGAGAAAAACAACACATAATCTAGCTAACGAGCACCTGTAAACGTATAGCAGAACAGAGAGTGGGGGGGAGTAAAAAGACAAACATTGCTAAGAGTTACAAAGGATAGGAAGATATGGAGGGCTATGATCGCCAATGTCCTGAAGGGACACGGCACATAAAAGAAGAAGTATTTGCTACATCATAGGTAGAGACATTATATTCCTTGACCTTATTCTTTTTTATGGGGTATTTTTGAATCCCAATTGTCTTCCCTTATGTGATCCAATTGTGGATCCTTGCTTCTAACAAACATTGATGAATGGAATGAATATCTTCTTTGCCTGGATTCATTCAGATGGCATTTTTTTTTCCTGATAATCTCTTCTTCAGGTTTAGATGGATAGCATCTCGATTTCAGCCATTTTCCCACCGCCATGATGTATCTTTATAAATATTTTCATGCTAATCGTTTAACTATTAAAATAGTTTCGATGTTTACCGTAAGTTTTATTCTCGATGATGGAACTTTCTTTCTTACTTCCCTACGACCTATGACCTTTAAATAGTTTAATGCAATGTCAATCGCCATCTTCTGTCTTCCTAAAACCTATTCCTTTATTATCGTTTCTCCTGACTAAGGTTTTTTTTTTTTCATTCTCTTTCACTCTCAATCGTATTATCACTTTGCTTGGGGTAAAATAATTTAAAATAAAGAAACAAGCTGAGTCCATTATGGGCAACAAACATTTCCTTATAACCTTCTTAAAATATATAACAACTGTTGAGTAAACTTATAAAACAGTTTTTTTTATTATTATTTCTACGCTTTTCAAGACAATGTAATTCATTTGTGAACAAGTCTAGCTTTCTCTTACGTTCCTTCTTACACCTCCGCCCAAAATGTGCTCCAAGCACGGTTGAGTAGTGGATAGCGGCTCGGATTGAGGAATCGGAGAGCCGAGTTCCAATTCCAGTCGAATCCATTACATTCACTTACGTGCTAATACCCTTGGGAAAGGTATGAATCCTCTTATTCTCCCTCTAGCTATGGGTAAATAGCAGGACAGACCGGGTTCTATAGCCGCGAATGGCAACTGGTCTACTGCAGAAAGAAATGGCAACCTACTGCGGGGAAAAATCTGCCTTGTCAGTCATGTATCGAAACATACATGATCGCCTAAGCGTGTACCACGTATGGCACATAACTGACTGACTGAACGATTATTCTCGCATCTGGTTATTCTGATATTTTCTATGAAAGGCATGGGGTTATTTTTTTTCTCTCTCTATTGACCTCGCTGTATAATTTAATTCTCTTTTGTGTATTTTACTGAATTCTATGTCAATATCTGTTAAGGCCTCTACCTTCTCTATAAAATATTTTGATTTTTTTTTTTCATTGGGTTGCTGGTTTTGACGATTTATCACGCAGTTGGAGATTTGTGTTCTTTTTAAGTGATTTATCTTCACGATTTAATTTTTATTTTATTTCTGGTTCGAATCTTATCTCCCATCCTATTTTGACATATTTATTGATTTACATATCCACCCCTCTCTCTCTGTCTCTCTCTCTCTCTATGAAATTCTCTTTCCCCCTCTTTCTATTCTCATTCCCTCATAATGCCTAATATTTTCTCCCTCTCATTTCTCACTCTTTCTACCTCCTCAAAATACTTTTACTTTCTCTCTTTCCTACTCATTTCTTTCTACCTTTAATTTCCTTTCTTCTAAACCCCAAAATACATTTGCTCCTTGTCCTGGCTCTCTGTTCATGACGACAACATGAATTAAACAAGGCACATATTTCTCAGCAGTTATTAATAAATAACAATAAACTCATTGTGGTTTGACAACAGTATTTTTTATTTATTTATTTAGGATAAAGTGACAACTGGTCTCCTTAAAAATCACGCACTCAACTCACAATTCTTTACTTATGTTATTGACATTTTTGCTGTCATCTGCATTTTACTTTTTTAACATTATCTCAGATGTATGTGCTGTTCGTCTGTTCGTCTCTTGATGCCAACAACTAGCATGTCTCCTCAAGTCTCCAGCACTTTCCTCAGTAT